GGCACGATGTGCAGACGTTGCGCAATTGTGTTTCCAGCGTGTATGTTATGGTTGCTGTTGCGTCTTGTTGGTTGACGAATTGCGTTGCTGCAACGTGCCTGTTTTCTGTGCCGTGTTGCGCTGTCGCGTTCCGCTGGATTGCAAGCCGCGCTGTGTGCGAGCGAACCGCTATGTTGTGTTAGTGTAGTAGCTGTTTGATATCGTCCATGTCGCTTCAGTGACAACATCGCCTATGTGCGGGTGCCGTGATCTGTGCTGTTGCGTTGTGCGTCGTCCGTACTGTCTTTGCCTCTGGGCTCTGCATCGCGCTGGGGCCCCCCCCATCCTCGGCGCCCCCCCCCCCCCCATGCAAGCGCGGCAGGGAAAACAACCTCTTTGGACTTCGTCGCGAGGTGGCCGCGCGGCGCCGGCGGGGAGAGAGCAGAGGCAGGCGGCGGTGCGCCGCGCACTTGCCCCTCCCCCCTTCCTCGCCCCGAGGCCCCAAATATGACCCCTCGTCCTCCACCATCGCCCCACCACCTTACGCTAACATGCACCTGGGGATCTATTGCCGTCTGCGTGTCGGGAGCCGCGAGACGAGCACTTGCCCCGGACGTTTGCTCTTCTCGAGAAGCGCCGCACCTGGAGCTTGCCATGTTGGCATGTCCATGGTGCCACACAATCTGCCCGCTCCTCGTTGTGTGATCACTGGGTTGAGGGGTGGGCCTGGCCTCGAGACACAAAGCAGCCTGGGCGACGCCGCTTTTCGCGCAGGTCGTGATCGAAGCACGACTCCACCACGGAGCGTTGGTCGCTGGATGCGTACAGAGACGGCAGCACCAGTCCTCAGCGCTGTCGCGACGCTGCTGGGCGTGCCAACTGCATTCGACATGTGTCGCCTCTCCTACCATCCGCGGGCCAAGACACGAACGAGAAACGAAAGATCACCCCCAGCAGCGCGCAGCTCGACTGAAGGGCACAACACATTGTTGCACCAAGTCGCGGACTACCCACTTTGTTCACACGGGAACTAGAGCGCTTGAGCCAAAATGGCTACGGACGGGGAGGAGGAGGAGGAGCGCCAACCGTCAGGGGGGGGGGAGGGCGGGGAGGGTCCGGAGAAGTCCTGCAGGAAGGCCACGGCGAGCGAGCACGCGGGCACGAGCAGCCAGGACCTGCCGCAAGTGCGTTGGGCTGCGCTTCCCTGCGGCGCGGCAGTGGTGGAACGCCGACGTTGCGAGCTCGACTGCCAGTGCATGGGAAATGACCGTCTCAGGCGTGTCGGAGGGCCATCGACACGGGAGCATGCAATCAAGAGGATCTTCACCCCACGTTGGAGGGAGCAGAGGGAGAAAAGGCACGAGCAGAAAGCGAAGAAGAGGGCAGCAGAAATAGTGGAGGAGAGAGTCCCCACCTACAGCTTGGCAGCCCCAGACACACCAGGAGGGCCCTTGTCGGAATCTCCTGGAGGTAGGCCACGCGTTACACAAAACTTTAATCAGCGAAGTCAGATAAAAAGAGGGGAGGCGGGAGCTCACGAGCTTAAACCGTCGAAGACAAACTAAAACATCTTGATGAGATACGACGCCAGTCCAGTATCTGAGTCGGGCACCCAGGAGATCAGTAGGGTGGGGATGGGGATGAAGGTGAAGTAGGAAGTGGTAGATCTTGGCCTGTAGTGCTCTGGGAGAAGAATCGGCGGGGTTCCCAGGGAGCCCAAGGAAGAGGTCACGAGCACGAACATGATGAGAGAGAATGGAGTCCGAGTGGTAGGGGTTGTCGAGGCATTGCAGACACACCTCCGTCGATTCCCACGCTCGACGGCACGATGCCTCACATACTGGGAGGGCCTCCGAAAGGAGTGCAGAGCGTGTCAGAGCACTTCTCGCAGCCAGGTCCAATGATCTCAATTGAACGGGGAAGTGGACAGACTTGAGGTTGGCGAGCAGGATGGGAGGGATCGAATGGCGAGGAGCACGTGTGAGAAGTTGATGACATTCACGGACAATGGCCTTGGCTTCGCGAGGAGGCTCGAATAGTTGGGCCACGTGGCCAACCACCGGGAGCGCATACCTGTTCCAGGCAACCACAGAATGAATAAAGCTGAGGCCCAGATTCTTGACGAGGTGGGTCCGTTCCCTCAATTTTGCCAGCGGGGCCCTCCAGGACATATTCCGCCCTCCAAACCCAAGGAATACACCAAGGTATTTGGCACATTGAGAGATCTGGAAGGGGCCCACATCGAGGCCCTGGACGCTGAAGAGCCTGCGGACATCTGCTTCATTAAACTGACGAGGAAAGATGATGTGGCACTTTGCAAAATTGAGCGCCAGACCAGTGGCCGTTGTGGCACGAGTGAGCAACGCGGTGATGATCGGGAGCACCACATACAGGTTGCGTGCTACCAAACCAAGATCATCAGCAAAAGCGCACAGCGATAGGTCGTGATAGCTCTTCTGGATGAGGGTAGCCTTCAGAACAGGGTCCAGGATCAGCGCGAACAGGACTCCCGAGAGGGGGCATCCCTGCATCATCCCCCTGTGGGCCCAGAAGCCCGAAGGAAACGAGTTCCCCACGGCAATGTACGTCCAAACCTGGGAGTAAAGCGTGATGATTGCCCCGACGATTTTGGCAGGTACCCTCATCTTCCTGAGCACGGCGAAGATCCACCTGTGGAAAACACTCGGGAACGCGTTCTTGAAATCAAAGAGGCAGGCCGCCGCCTCCTTAATGCCCAAGGTGTGAGACCAGGTGAGTAACGAAGAGTCCATCTCAAGAATGTTATCGATCATCGAACGACCCCTCACGAAACCTCTCTGACATGCCTGAACTCGATCTGCCGCGAGAGAGTTGAGCGGGTGAGCGAGCAAGGACGAGTAGATCTTGTTATCCGAGTTCGAGAGCGAGAGCATGCGGGTTTGGCAGGGGGTACGAATTTCAGCACCTTTGGACTTCAGGTCACCCTTGGGCGGGAAGGCAGCACGGCAATAGTTAAATTCCTGACTTACACGATGCTCATTCACCAGGCAGAGGAAGCCGTCATACAGAAACTGGTGGGCGAGATCGGGGGCCAGGCGCCAGGCCGAGTAGGGGACCCCGTCGGGACCAGGGGCCGTGTCTTTCTTTTTGGCGAGGAGACTGAGCATCTGATCTTTGCTCGCGATCCAGTCGACACGCTGGTGCGAGGAGGAAACGAACTGGCCCTCCTGCTCTTCAAGCGGCTCCACCTGCGCGAGGAAAAAGTCAGTGGCCTCTGCGCACACCTGGGCCTCATTCTCGACAGCGAAAACTGCTCCCCAATGCTTAGCCAGTAAATTAGCCATGAGAGTTGGGTCGGAGATGGTATGACCTTCCGCAGTACGCAAACCCGCCAGGAAGATTTTCGGCCTCTGGGATCGCCAGGCAGCGGCAAGGCGCTGGATGCGGAAAAGGTTGGCAGCCTGAACTTCGGGGGGGTCCGAACTGCGTAAGACGTCTTGGGTGCGAGCGTCCATGATGGCTCTCTGGAGGCTGGCAAGGTGCTGGTGGAACCCGTTCCAGTCGATCCAACTCTCGGCGAGCACGGAATAGAAGGCAGCGAGCACGGGGTAGGCTGCAATCGAATTCTTGGCCACCTGATGCTGACCTGCTCTAGCCGACCGAAGGAGTCGAAGGCATATCAGGACTCTCTGCTCGTTGTTCTGGGGACCCACCTGCTGGACATGCCATTTCACCCTCCGGGCCGCGTAGTGGAAAACTTTCTTCGATTCAAGGAGCCTCTGAGTAGGGTCAGCAGAGAAGTCCTGGACCTGAAACATGTCTTCACAGACTTCCTTGAAAACAGCATGGCAGGCAACCCAGGGCGGAATCGAGACGTAGTCCGCGTCGTCGCGAGCAGGAACGGTGAGGCTGAGGAAGACGGGGGAGTGGTCAGAGGGCTTGGACAGGTTCGTGATGGGCCAGGCGGTAGAGGAAACGGGGTTGAAGTCGATGAGGAGAGCACTAGGAAGACTTGTATAGATACGATCCAATCTTGCATAGCTGGGGTTTGTATCAACGTTAGCACGATGTGTAAAGTGAGGTTGGTAGACTTCAGAGTACAGCGGGAAGATCTGATCAAACAGGGAGGCGAGCCGAGATGTCTGGAAGGTCTCACGCCCCGATAGGGCGTAGTACCGCGCGTCACCGTTCTCGAGAAAGTTAAAGTCACCGACGATGAAGGACGTGGAGAGTGGGGAAGGGGTCAGGAAGCCACGAAGTCGCCAGAATACTGCACGGGTGTGGGCCTCCGTCCAGGAGGGGTCCACATGTACACATGCAACCTGAAGAACCTCTCGTGGATTGGCGAGAGTGAGTACACCAACGCGGCCCTGCTCGACAACACTGAAGGAGTGGGAGGTGAAGCGAGAGTAGATGGTCTCCTTAACCACAATCAGGATACCCCCTGCAATCTCACTGTTCATGAACGAACCAAACACCTGCACGGCACCGAGATCACGCTGGAGTAGGGCTGCATCGGCACTATTTCCATGGGTTTCCTGGATACAAATGATCGAGTGCCGTCTGAGGAGGGATTGGAGGGAGCGGTATTTACACTGACTTCGCCGACTATCTGTGAAATGGGAACAGAACAACGTTTGGGCATTCCAACTACAGATGTTGAAGGGGAGGGAGAAGGAGGGAAGAAAGAGGCGGGAAGACAACGGGGCGGGAGGGCGCACAGGGGGCCTAGCAGCCAAGGGCCCCACCGCAGGGCTGCGCCTGTGCACACGAGCAAGAGAGGGGGAGCAGGGCACAGGGACGGCGGCCTCAGGAGAGCATGCAGGTGTTGCCGACGAAGAGGCCGGGGTAGCACAGGCGCAAGTAGCCGTCGATGTCCCAGGGGAGGAGGCCGAGCAGGGAGAGGAGCCAGTCGTAGACGATGAGTTCTCGGCGTTGGTGTTGCTGCTTCCCAGTGCATGACTGCCCTCAGTAACGCATACAGCAGGCAACGTCGAGGAAGCTCCGTATGTGGAAATCGATGTTGTCCTTGAGTCCTCATCCTAGTCCATGGCGGTGTCGCCGCCCGCTTCCTGGGCAGAGGCATGCGCCTTGCTGATGATGGTGTTGATCTGCTCTGCGGAGATGCCCCAGGCTTCCAGCTCGCTGAGATGCGGTTCGAATTGATAGCAGTCCTCGCCGTTCCTCTGGGTCATGGGCTTCGATGAGACGAGCTCCCAGACGTCGCTCTCGGTGCGTAATCGGAGAACTCCTTTGAAGCCATCCACTCCTAGCTGACATTTGCCTTCTTGCCAGTGCGGGGAAAGCATGAGAAGGGAGCGGACAGGGTTCCACAGGTGGTGAAAGGCCCTCTTCCTGATCCTGACGTCGAGCGGAAGGTCGGACTTGACGCGCAGGGGATGGATGTTACCGTCGCGGGGATCGGTCCACGTCATGCCCTGGAGGTTGGCCATGCGCTGGAATTCTCTGGCTGCATCTTCTCTCTCGAACTTGACTGCGTAGGTCTGGGCAATGGAGTGAAAGACAGGAGTGGCGCCAACCGACAGGAGGTGCGGGAAGTGCTGCACGAGCTGGTCCCAATGCTTGCGTCTGACAGAGTCCAATACGGGCCGAGGGAAGGTGCCAACAAACTTGAGTAAGGAGTCGCCGCCAGGCACTGCGTCGAAGCCGCGCTGCTTCTTGGCACCCGAGGGGATCTGCCTCGCGAAGCCCGCCGTGCCAGATATGGACCCACCACTGGAAGATGCCGTCGAGGATGTTGCGCTGGCAATGCGCTTGAGATTGGTGTCGTTGTCCGCGCATTGCTTGGTGAGGAGGTTGACGCGGTCGACGAGCTGGGTCATGGCCGTCTGCTGTGCTTGGATGGAATTATGATGCAGGAGGAGGGAGTTGTTGACGGTCTCGAACTTCTTGTTGAGCTCGCCTGAGACGTGTGCCGTGACCTGTTGAACTATGGTTTCCGTTGCAGAGGCCATGGCAGCAGCAATGCCCGACTGTATGGCCTGATTGAGCTCCTCACTTCCCATGGCAGAGAACAGCTGGGGCGATCCAGCAGGAGAAGATGTGAGGAGTGTCGCAAAATGCGGAGAAGGCACGGGCACTGAAGCTCTCGTGCCGCGAGGCCTGCCCTCGCCAGAAGATCGCTCTGAGCCGTCCCCTTGAGCCAAAATGGCTACGGACGGGGAGGAGGAGGAGGAGGAGGAGGAGGAGGAGGAGGAGGAGGAGGAGGAGGAGGACGGGGAAAGGGAGGGAGGGGAGGGAAACGACCGAGCGAGGGTCATCTGCGCTCGCCCCCCGGCGAGAGCCCTCCTGCCGCTTGCGCTCCGCCGCCAGCAGCATCTGCAGCATGCGCCGCTTCTGCGGGGTCAGCGTCGGGTCCTCGGTCGGCACCGTCGGCGACGGCCCCCGCCGCGAGCGGCGGGCGACGGCGGCGGCAGCGACGACGACGACGACGACAACGTCGACGACGGCGGCGTCGACGACGACGGCAACGACGACGACGACCACGACCTCGACCACGGACGACGACGTCAACGACGACGACAACGGCGGCGGCGGCGGGAATGGTCCAACGTTCGAATGTCTGAACTCCCAGAAATGGTCCCCTGGCGGGATCGGCGCTATGGCACTATTTCTGATTGTCAGGACGCAACAATCATGTTGATTCCTCGCGGTGGAGTCCCACGAGTTGCGTCTAGGCGCGATTGAGGATTGTCAGACGGTTGTCTTCTAATGGAGCACTTCCCGCATTAAAAGTAAGTTACTGTAGGGACCTATGAAGAGGGGATCTCGGAGATGTGTATTGCAACATCGTTGATGCGCCTTGGGTTTACACGAGTCCTCCTTTCACCACCTCCACCTCCTCCAACAACTAGTCCTCTTCCATCCTCCCTCCTCCCCCTCCATACTCCTCCTCCTCCTCCTCCTCGTGCTCCCTCCTCCTCCTGCACTCATTCCTGCTCTCCTCCTCCTCCTCCTCCTCCTCTTCCTCCTTATCATCATCATCATCATCATCCTCCTACCTCCATCCCTCCCTCCCTCCCTCCCTCTCTTTTTGTGTGTTTTGTTTTTTTGTATTCTCTCTCTGTGTATATATGCATGACATTCCACCCTCGCTCGCTCGCTCACTCGCCCGCTAACTCTCTCTCTCTCTCTCTTCCTCCTCCTCCTCCTCCACCTCCTCCTCCTCCTCCTCCTCATCATCCTGCTTCTCCTCATCAACCTCCTCCTCCTCCACAATTTTACAATATGATTACTACTCTCCTCTCTCCCCTGGCGACGTCCGGGAAATATTCGGCCCGCCTCCGCGTACTGATTTATTTAACACCGGATTCCCGGGCAACGGGTGTTCGCTTGATTTTTGTTCAAAGTGCTGCTCTCGCTGAAGCGCTGGCCTCATTTTCGGGCTACTGCAGGTTCCGAATATTGTATCTGCTGCAACGCCGGCCTCCTTTCCGTGCTTCCGCTCGTTTCGAAACGTGCTCCCGCTGCAGCGCTGGCGTCATTATTTCCAGCGCCATGCCACGGCATGGTTTTCGGTCCTTCCAAATAGGCCCCAAAATCTAGAAAATGCCACCCCCTTGCAAAACACCATCGTTAGTGATTACACATTCGGTGTCGATGCGTTGACTGTTTTGGTCGCAGAAGCCCCCCCACACTTTGCACACTTTGGGGCGTCGCCAAGCCATGCTATGTCAAACTACGCGTCCTCCGAATCGTGCTCCCGCTGCAGCGCCGGCCTCATTTCCGCGCTTCCGCTCGTTCCGAAACGTGCTCCCGCCGCAGCGCGGGCGTCATTATTTCCAGCGCCATGCCACGGCATGGTTTTCGGTCCTTCCAAATAGGCCCCAAAATCTAAAAAATGCCCCCCCCCTCCCTCGGCAAAAAACCATCGTAAGTGATTACACATTCGGTGTCGATGCGTTGACTGTTTTGGTCGCAGCAGCCCCCCCACACTTTGGCGCGTGGCCAAGCCATGCTATGCCAGGCTACGCGCCCTCCGAATCGTGCTCCCGCTGCAGCGTCGGCCTCATTTCCGCGCTTCCGCTCGTTCCGAAACGTGCTCCCGCTGCAGCGCCGGCATCATTATTTCCAGCGCCATGCCACGGAATGGTCTTCGGTCCTTCCAAATAGGCCCCAAAATCTAGAAGATGGCCCCCCGAAGCAACCATCGTAAGTGATTACACATTCGGTGTCGATTCCTTGATTTTTGGGCCGCAGAAGCCCCCGCCCCGCCCACTTCGGGGCGTCGCCACGCCATGCTATGCCAAGCTACGCGTTGATCTTCAACACCATCCTGTGCCAGGTAATGCTATTATGCCCTGCTGCGACATCCGACTTTGCGAATAGAGAGGAGATCTACGCCATGGTGAGGGATGGGAAGGAGGGGTGGGACGTCAGATATGACGCGAGCGCACCTAGCTTGCTCTCCTCCCCCTCCCCCTCCTCCTACCTCCCACGTCCCCTTCCCTTCCCTGCCTCCCTCCCTCCCTCCCTCGTCCCTCCTTTCCTCCCCCCCTCCCCCTACTCAACCTCCTCCTCCTCCTCCTTCTCATCCCCCTCCTCCTCCCCCTCCCCCCTCCACCTCATCTCTCGCCCTCGTCCCTCCCAGTGGGGGGGGCGGGGCTGATGAGTCTCACACTCTGAATGTGCACACTGTCCTGGCCACCCGGTGCTGCACGAAGTGTGGGGCCACTGCCGAGAAGCAAAACTTTCTCTTGGGCAAGCCGTGCACGGAAGTGATACACAAGAATCGGGGGGGTAGACTAAACAACAACAACAACAACAACAACAACAACAACAACAACAACAACAACAACAACAATCATTTAAGACTGGGGACACTCCGTTCTCACCAGTGCCAGGGTTTTCATAGGAGGCGGGCAATACCCCCACTTTGTGGGGGGGCCGGTTCAAGCTCTACCAATTTCCAAACGACTCTTCGCCACCACCCACACCCAGCTTCCCGCCCTATGACGTTCGGACACTTCACTTCGTGGCATGCGGACGACCGTGGCTACTATTCAGGGCCCCGCGGCCGACGACGACGGCGTGCGCGCGCGAAGAAAAAACGAATGTGTCCCGCATGGTATTATTTGACAGGGATGATGGCCCTGGCAGGTGCGCAACCGTTGTCGCAGAAGTTCGAAAAAGTTGCTCGCAAAAGCCCGTTTGACAGAAATGTTTAAAAAGTGTTGGGTTTCCTACGAATCCGCAAGAGCGCGCGGGATGAGATTTTGACATTTTTTTGTTGAAAAACCATTGGTTTTTTGATGTTTTTATGTTAAAATCGCTGCGAACACTAAGGTTTTGGAAGGATTTCGTCTTGCGCGCGCGAATGTCCACTTTACCTTATTTTTTGCAAGGGATTCTTGAAATTTGATTATATTAGAACAAGAAATGTCATTTTATAGTGTTTTTTGCAAGGGAAACGGATTACAACAAAACAACCGGATCTTGATCACATCGAATTACCTGAGGCTTCCTCACGAAAATGATGAAAATGTAGCTGCGGCCTAGGCGGCGCAGGGGGGCCGTGCACCAGGGGCCCCAACAATAATTATTCTTTAGAATTAATAATGTTCAACAACAACAACAACAACAACAACAACAACAACAACAACAACAACGACGACGACGACGACGACGACAACAACAACAACAACAACAACAACAACAACAGCAGCATCAGCAGCAACAACAACAGCAACAGCAACAGCAACAGCAACAGCAACAGCAACAACAACAACAACAACAACAACAACAACAACAACAACAAAACACTGAACTAAAAAAAACACTCGATCACAATGCGGCTCACGGGAGGAAGAGGAAAGTCCTCAGCCAGACCGAGCAAAAGTTCTGGCGATCGAGTGCGGCTCAGTCCGAGGTGGTTTCGTCGGTGAATTGCTTGCGCAACGGGCGACACTCCACTAGGGGGCCATATGCGAACCCTACCCCCACCCCCCACGATTTCTCAGGGGGAGGGTGGGGTTCACTTCGCCTGGGAGCTCCCGAGCGAAGTGAACCCCACCCCCCCCTCAGAAGTCGTGGGGGGGTAGGGGTAGGGCTCGCATGTGGCCCCCTATCCACGCCACCCCCCCCCGAAGGAGGGCGGCGGCCGCGGCGGCACACAGCAGGCGGCGAGGCGCGCGCGAGAGCGCAAGCCGTCCCGCAGGCTCTCTGCGACGCCCTCCAGGCGCGTCCTCTCGAGGCTTCAGGCAGAGGGGGGCAGGGAGGGAATCCTCCTCCTCCTCCTACTCCCCCTCCTCCTCCTCCTCCTCCTCCTCCTCCTCCCCCCCTCCTCCTCCTCCTCCTCTCCTCCTCCTCCTCCTCCTCCTCCATCCTCCTCCTCCTCCTCCTCCTCCTGGTCGTTCTCGTGTTCCTCCTCCCCCCCATACTCCACTCCTTTTCCTTATTAATAATTTCTCCCTGTCGCACCCCGAGGCGTTTCGCCTGAGACTTCCTCACCCCTTTATGGTTCTCAAGCTTAAAAATGGAAAGAGTTTCACGGATTGAGGGAGGGTGGCTTTCAAAATATGGCTCTCGCCTTAGCGCCGCGCGCAGTCCTATTAAAATTTGCAAGAGCTTCACGGGTTGAGGGCGGATCCTTTACAAAATGAGGCTCTCGCCTTAGCGCCGCGCACAATGGTTTCAAACATTTACCAGAGCGTCACGGATTGAGGGCGGGTGGTTTTGTAAATGTGGTTCTCGCCTTAGCGCGCCTTGGCGCTCGCTTGGGTCGTGTCGTGCCCATTTGAGGGGCCTCGTGGGCGCTCTGTGGCTTCCCGGAGCGTGCAAGGACCGTCTGGGGCCCTCATGGCGCCGTGTGGGGCCCTCATGGCGCCATCTGGGGAGCCTCCAAATGTCCTGGAGCGCCCAAAGGGCTCCCGGAGCGCTCCGGGGCGCTCTGGACTGCTCCCGAAAAGACAAGCATGGAAGGGCCCCAGAGCGTTGAAAACAGCACTTGTGGGCACGAGGTCCGGCCCTCGCTTCTCGTCCGACCCCTACCTTAGAGGTAAGGTGGAAGCCACTGAAAGCCTCTTGGGGGCTGTTTGGGGGCCGCTTTCCGGCCTCCCGGGAATCCCTTGGGTCCCTCTTAGGCCGTCTTAAATGCCCCTTGGGCCGTCTTGGGGCCGTGTGGGGCCGTCTTGGGTGCAGCTCGGACCGTCTTGGGGCCGTCTTGGGCCGTTATTGACCGCTTTTTGGGCTGTCTTGGTTGCCTCTTGGGCCGTCTAGGGCGTCTCTGGAGCCGTCGCGGGCCCGCCTCGGGCCGTTTGGGGGCCCTTCTGGAGTGCTCTGGGGGCGTCTTGGGGCGATCGGGAAAGCCTGTATAGCCGTCTTGGACGCGGTGAAGACGAAAAGAACGAGAAAATCAAAATGTACGTTTTCCGAAGGGAATGGGCCAATTTTTGCCTCTTAGGTCCCTCTTGGGGGTCCTCCTGGGCCGCCTTGGGAGCCTCCTGGCCTGCCTTGGAGGCCTCTGGGGCCGACCTGGGGCTCGGTTGGGTCCCTCTTGGTCTGTCCGGGAGCCCTCGTGGGAGTTTCTGAGCCCCGCGCAGTTGTTTTAAACATTCGCTCTCGCCTTAGCGCCGCGCACATGGAGTCCCATGGTCAACGTACCAGACATGGTGTTTTGGAAAGATTCGGGATGATGCGGGTGCAACTCGTATGTTGATTCGCGGTGGTGAAGTCCCAAAAATGGCGTTCTGGCAAGATTGCAGATCGTCAGGACGCAGCAGTCAGGTTGATCAGCGGCGTGGAAAAATACCGAGAACGACTACTTGGCATGCTTCAAGGTCTTCAAACGGTTGCCGAGACAAATCCTTCAATGGAAATGAACCGTTGTAGAGGCCTATGAAGAGGGAGCTTGGAGGGAGGGCTCATGTCAAACATCGTTGATGACTCCGGGTTTACACTGGTCCTCCTCCTCCTCCGCCTGCTCCTCCTCCTCCTCCTCCTCCTCCTCCTCCTCCTCCTCCTCCTCTTCCTCCTCCTCCTCCTCCTCCTCCTCCTCCTCCTTCCGCTCCTGCTCCTGTTCATTATCATGTTCCTCCTCCTCCCCCCGTACTCCTCCTCCTCCTCCTCCTCCTCCTCCTCCTCCTCCTCCTCCTCCTCCTCCTCCTCCTGCTCCTCCTCCCGCTCCTGCTCCTGCTCACTATCATGTTCCTCCTCCTCCTCCCCCATGCTCCTCCCCCTCCTCCTCATCCTCCTCCTCCTCCCCTCCTCCTCCTCCTCCTCTCCCCTCCTCCTCTCCTCCTCCTCCTCCTCCTCTCCTCCTCCTCCTCCCTCCTCCTCATCATCATCCTCCTTCACCTCCTCCTCCTCCTCCTCCTCCCTCCTCCTCCTCCTCCTCCTCCTCCTCCCCCCGCCGCCGCCTCCGCCTCCTCCTCCTCCTCCTCCCTCCTCCTCCTCCTCCTCCCTCCTCCCTCCTCCCTCCTCCCGCCGCCGCCGCCGCCGCGCCGCCGCCGCCTCCGCCTCCGCCTCCGCCTCCGCCTCCGCCTCCTCCTCCTCCTCCTCCTCCTCCTCCTCCCTCACGACTCCACTCCTGGCATGCCCAGGCCGTGGGGCAGAGCCCCCAGCGCCCAGGCCGAGTCCAACCGTGGCGATACGAAGCACCCAGACGTTCAGCCACCTGACTGTGTCAGCGGCGGCCCACGCAGTATCGAGGACCCCTGAGGTCCGACGTTGCCAACAGAAGTAAAGCATCGAAAAACAAATCACGACGGGAGCCCATAGACCCCATCTTTCTGCTGCATGCTTCGGGGCGAATGGATCCGTCAAGGCACATGGGCCCAAAGGAAGGCAACGCCACCTGTTGTGACAAAATGCGACTCCAGGATCTCAGGACCTCTCTCCGTCTGCACCCCCGTTCTGCATGGCGATCGTATCCTCCGCGCCACGTCTGGCCCATCTGCCTCGATGCTCGCCGCCAGGCACTCCGCCTCGATCACCTCCGCAGGGGGCCCAAAAAACGGCCACTACCGGTAGCACCGTGGAGAAGACGTCCACAGGAAAAGTGAGCGCACCGGCGGGAGGGACGCTTGCTGCACGGTCGACGAACTTAGAGATGGGGCGTCGCCGAAAAGAATCTGCAAACCTGGAGGTTCAGCTCCAGATGTCCGCTGCCTTGCCCCCTGGCTCGGAATGGAGCAGTACAGTGGCACGGGTGGCTGGTGAAGCATCTGGAATCCCACCAGCCCTCTGGGCGCATGTGGCGTGACGGACTCTTGTCTTCTCTCCTCCAAGACCCCTCCTTCCCCTGCTCGGAGGAGGGGTTTACCACTGTTCCTTGTTAAAATACACCCGTTCCTCACCCGGCCGGCGGCCAACCCAGAACCATGCCTACTTCATGCGGGCCCGCCCCCCACCATCCCTGTCAAATAACAATACAAACCGCACTCTGCCTCCACATTTGGAGCATGCACAGCCAACCGGATGCGCCCCCCCCCCCCACCCACCCACCATGCCTGTCAAAAATGCAAAGAAAGTACACTTTGGGGCTGAGTAATGTTCGTGAGGCCCGCGAGCACTTTGAATTGTTTCTAACAGGGACGGCGGGGGTGTCAGCATATTCCCTGCTGTGCGCAGGGCTAACCAACAAAATAATACAACATGCACCTCGCGGCTAAATCTGGGTCATGCGCGGCCATCCAGCGATCACTGTCAAGTGGTGTTTGACAAGGACGGCGGGGGTGGTGTCGCGTGGCTTGCTGTGCGCAAGCCCACCAGACACCATGATGGGCATTGGTTTTCGACATGGATGGCGGTGGCCGACATGCTTCCCGATGTGTGTTGTCACATGCGCAGGCGCACCCGATGGACTCTGCGCGTGCCCCGGACGTGGCGCACCTGGCGCGGCTGGAGTGTGCGGCCCACCTGGCGCAGTCGGAGCACGTGGCGCATCTGGCGCACCAGGCGTGCCTGGCACTCGGGCCCCAGGGGTGCCTGGCGCGGGTGGCGCCCCTGGCACGCGTGGCGCAACTCGCCCAAGCGTCGCGCAGCTGCAGTCCACTGTGGTTCCCAATAACTGCCCAAGCAAAGACGACCGCCGAACACGCTCAGGCTCGGGTGCTACATATGTGTTGGGAGGGCGGGTGGGAGTGAGCTAGACGGCTTGTGGGCGGGTAGGTAGCTTGACCACCGTTCCCTAGTAATAAACACCCCCTCCTCCAGGCGACTGGGGGCCAACCCAGGTCCATGACAACACCCCCCCGCACAATCCCTTGTTAAAAACAATACAACACACACACACACACACACACACACACACACACACACACACACACTGCCTCCAAATTCGGGACATGCGCAGCCAACCCTATGCGCCCCCCCCCCCACACCATCCCTGTCAAAAAACAATACAGAGTACACTTGGCGGAGGCGGCGGCGGCTGCGGCGGCGGCTGCGGCGGCGGCGGCGGCTGCGGCGGCTGCGGCGGCGGCGGCGGCGGTGGCGACGGTGGCGGCGGCGGCGGTGGCGGCAGCGGCTGCGGCGGCGGCGGCGGCGGCGGCGGCGGTGGCGGCGGCGGCGGAGGCGGCGGTGGCGGCGGATTGGCCCCCAGTAGCTACCCATCCAAAGACGACTGCTGAATATGCTGAGGCTCGGGCCAGACTCGGGTGCTACGTATGTGTTGGGAGGGCGGGTGGGAGTGAGCGAGACGGCTTGCGGGCGGGCGGGGGTCTTGACCCCTTCCCCTACCCCCTCCCCTGGGCGTGAGAGAGGGGGGCCGACCATTTGGAGCGTCCAAGATGGGCCAAGATGGTTCCAAGAGGGCCTCAGATGCCCAAGATGGCCTTCAAGATGGCTCAAAACAGCTCAAGATGAGTCCAGATAGTCTCCGCCACACATCCAAGAGGCCTCAAGACGGCCCCAAAAACGGTTCCAAGAACCCTCCTAGCCCTCCAAGGAGCTCCCCACGAGTTTAAACGTGCTCAAACACATCGAGAAAATTGTTGTTGGCGGTATCGCCTTTACGCGTCCGATCGGCCTCGAAGGCCCCACGATGGCCCCAAGACGGCCCCAGAGAGCCCCAAGAGAGGCCCAAGAGGGCCCCAAGAGGGTCCCAAGTACGCCCAAGAGCGCCTCAAGACCAGCATAAGAGGGAACCAAGACGCAATGTGTGAGCCTCCCAGGGGGGGGTACCCCCCTTCGGTTGAACCGTAGGGCCTGAGATTAGTCGAGGGGGCCTCCCATCTCAAAGAGCCCCAGGAAGGTCCCAAGATCACCATAACAAGCCCCAATACGTTCCCAAGAGTGCCCCAAGAGGCTCGAAGGGAACCCCAAGCGGGCTCCAAGATGGCCCACGAGTCCTCCAAGAGCATCTTGACGGCCCAAAGAATCCAAAGGACCCAACGGAGCCCCCAAAGAGCCCCTAAGATGGCCTCTGTCGTCTTGCGAGAACCTCTCACAACAAAGTATCTCCGAAACCCGACTTCTCATCCTCTTTGTCCTCGTTCGTTACGTCATTCCTCTGTTCCTGCCTCCCTCCTCCTCCTCCTCCTCCCTCCTCCTCCTCCTCCTAGACCTCCTCCTCCTCCTCCTCCTCCTCCTCCTCCTCCTCCTCCTCTGCAGCTTCCTCGTGGCGCATTCCTCTTCCTCCTCCTCCTCCTCCTCCTCCTCTTCCCTTTCGTTTTCCCCCTCCTCGTCCTTCTCTTTTCCCTCCTCCTCCCCATCCTCCTCCTCCTCATCTTCCTCTTCCTCCTCATTGGACTTCTTCTGAACGTCTTCAATTGACATTGCCTCAGGACCGGCCAAGATCATCCCAGAAGGCCAGCATGGCCGAAGCGGGATCCAAGACGTTCCAAGACGGCCCAAACACCCCAAGGCAGTCACTAAACCCCCATGCGCCCCAAGAGCCCAAGAGGGCCCCATGTAGCTCCCACGAAAAAAAATCCGGGCGAAGGACCCAACCATATGAAAGTGTGAGAACCGCAGGGGTGCGCCAAAGTGGGGCGGGGCCGCCATGCGAACCTTGCCACTGGGGCCTTCGGTGGAGCTTCCTGTTGGGCCACGAACCGTGTGAGGGGTGCGCCAAAATGGGGCGGTGGTGCCATGCGAACCCTGCCACTGGGGCCTTCGGTGGAGCTCCATGTGGGGCCACGAAACGCGTGAGGGGTGCAGCAAAATTGTGCGGGGCCGCCAAGCGAGCCCTGCCACGGGGGTCTTCGGTGGAGCTCCCGATGGGGCCGCGAACCGCTTGAGGTGTGCGCCAAAATGGGGCGGGGCCGCCATGCGAACCCTGCCACTGGGGCCTTCGGTGGAACTCCCTGTGGGGCCACGAACCGTGTGAGGGGTGCGCCATAATGGGGCGGGGCCGCCATGCGAACCCTACCACTGGGGCCTTCGGTAGAGCTCCCTGTGGGGCCACGAACCGTGTGAAGGGTGCGCCAAAATGGGGCGGGGCCACCATGCGAACCCTGTCACTGGGGCCTTCGGTGAAACTCCCTATGGGGCCACGAACCGTGTGAGGGCTGCGCCAAAACGGCGCGGGGCCGCCATGCGAACCCTGCCACTGGGGCCTTCGGTGGAGCTCCCTATGGGACCACGAAACGTTGTACTGGGTGGATGAAACGCAAGGGAGGAAGGAGGAGGGGGGAGGCAGCGGGAGGAGAAGGAAGGAAGGAAGGAAGGAAAGAAGGAAAGAAGGAGGACGCGGGCGAGGACCCAACACCAGAGGATGATTGGGAACAAAAGCCGCTGACAACGGCCCTCCGAAAATTTGCGATTATGGCAACTTTCCAAGCACTGAACTACCGTGACACTGAGCGCGGTACGAACCATCCCACTGGGGCCTTCGGTGGAACTCCCTGTGGGGCCACGAACCGTGTGAGGGGTGTGCCGAAATCAAAGCGGTGGTGCCATGCGAACCATGCCTTTGGGGCCTTCGGCGGAGCTCTTCACGGGACCACGAACCGTGTGAGGGGTGCGCCAGAATGTGGCGGTGGTGCCATCCGAACCCTGCCACTGGGGCCGTCGGTGGAACTCCCCCTATGGTGCCAAGAACTGTGTGAGGGGTGCGCCAGAATGGGGCGGTGGTGCCATGCGAACCCTGCCACTGGGGCCTTCGGTGGAGCTCCCTATGGGGCCTCGAACCGTGTGAAAGGTGCGCCAAAATGGCGCGGGGCCGCCATTGGAACCCTGCCACTGGGGCCTTCGGTGGAACTCTCTATGGGGCCACGAACCGTGTGAGGGGTGCGCCAAAATGGGGCGGGGCCGCCATGCGAACCCTGTCACTGGGGCCTTCGGTGGAACTCCCCCTATGGGGCCACGAACCGTGTGAGGCGTGCGCCAAAATGGGGCGGTGGTGCCATGCGAACCCTGCCACTGGGGCCTTCGGTGGAGCTCCCTATGAGGCCACGAACCGTTCGGGGGGGGCGCCAAAAAGGCGCGATGGTGCCATGCGAACCCTGTCACTGGGGCCTTCGTTGGAGCTCCCTATGGAGCCACGAACCGTGTGAGGGGTGCGCCAAAATGGCGCGGGGCCGCCATGCGAACCCTGCCACTGGGGCCTTCGGCGGAGCTCCCTATGGGGCCTCGAACCGTGCGCCAGAATGGGGCGGTGGTGCCATGCGAACCCTGCGCCTGGGGCCTTCAGTGGAGCTCCACCTATGGGGCCACGAACCGTGTGAAGGGTGCGCCAGGAATGGGCGGTGGTGTCATGCGAACCCTGCCACTGGGGCCTTCGGTGGAGCTCTTTATGGGGCCACGAACCGTGTGAGGGGTGCGCCAGAATGGGGCGGTGGTGCCATGCGAACCCAACCACTGGGGCCTTCGGTGGAGCTCCCTGTGGGGCCGCGAAACGCGTGAGGGGTGTGCCGAAACAGAATCATGCGGAGGGCAGAGGCAAGGAGGGGGAGGAGGGAGGAGGAGGAGGAGGAGGAGGAAGAGGAGGAAAGGAGGAGGAAAGGAGGAGGAGGAAGGAGGAAGGAGGAAGGAGGAAGGAGGAGGCGCGCCGCACCGTCTCTTCAAAACGAGGACCCAACACCACAGGATGATTGGGAACAAAACGGGCGCTCAAGACGGCGGAAGGAGTCTCCAAGATCCCCCCAAGCGGCCGCCGACAAAAGCACACGTGGCACCAGGATGGCACTAGTGCAGCACCAGGGCCACCCAAACGGCGATCGGTAAGTACCGCTTTCTCTCTCTCTCTCTCTCTCTCTCTCTCTCTCCCTGCGAATTCGTTGAAGGGAAGTTCAGGGAACACACAATGGCATAAGCTCAAGAAGACGGGAGGCCGCGCGGATTCCTGGGATCGGCGCTGGACCCCCTCCCCTCCCCGGCGCGGAGTGGAGGGCGCGCCAGGGGCGGCGCCCGAGGCGCCGCGAGGGGGGCCCCAGCGCCGATGCGAGGCCGACCTGCGAGCTGTTATGTTTCGTGCCGCTGTTTCGCATTCGGCCTGGAGCGCGAGGTGTTCTCGAGGTGGTCACAGAGGTGCTCCGAGGCTGCCCGGACTTGGCGGCGCGCACCTGGGGGGGCGGAGGAAGGGGGGAGGGCTTCTTAGAAGGAGGCTACTCCTTAGAAGGCGCCGGCCTTGCATCCAGATGAGGCCCGCGCCTTCTAGGAAGCAGGGGTGCTTCCAAGAAGCCCTCCCCCGTGGAAACGGGACCCGTCGCTAATCCACGCCCCCTTAATCCATGCTTGCGATCGCCTGATCCTTAGAAGGCGCCGGCCTCGCATCTATAGACGACAAGGCCCGCGCCTGCTGAGGAGCAGGGGTGCTTCCAAGAAGCCCTCCACCCTCCCCCATACCTGGCCCTCGCTCGGGCGTCCATTCCCTGCGTTTCGGTTCGGTCTCGTGCGTGGTTTTTCGCCGGATGATCCAGGATGCTCCCCAATAACCCCCGCCGAGAGGAAGTGCACACGTCCGAGCGATACCAAGATACCCCCCTCTGCTCCGAGACTCGGCGGTGGACAAAACTCCCTTTCGTGAAAACGGCCTAGGACCGAAACGGACAAGCCTGGACCCGCAAAAATGACGGCCGCGACGCCCTCTCGCGAGCCGAGAACGGCCAACTCGCTGATCGCCGTGTCAGGGTAGGAGGTCTGTCCACCCCCAACTATAGATGAGGCCCGCGCCTTCTAGGAAGCAGGGGTGCTTCCAAGAAGCCCTCCCCCGTGGAAACGGGACCCGTCGCTAATCCACGCCCCCTTAATCCATGCTTGCGATCGCCTGATCCTTAGAAGGCGCCGGCCTCGCATCTATAGACGATAAGGCCCGCGCCTGCAGAGGAGCAGGGGTGCTTCCAAGAAGCCCTCCCCCCTCCCCCATATCTGGCCATCGCTCGGGCGTCCATTCCCTGCGTTTCGGTTCGGTCTCGTGCGTGGTTTTTCGCCGGATGATCCAGGATGCTCCTTAATAACCCCCGCCGAGAGGAAGTGCACACGTCCGAGCGATACCAAGATACCCCCCTCTGCTCCGAGACTCGGCGGTGGACAAAACTTCCTTTCGTGAAAACGGCCTGGGACCGAAACGGACAAGCCTGGACCCGCAAAAATGACGGCCGCGACGCCCTCTCGCGAGCCGAGAACGGCCAACTCGCTGATCGCCGTGTCAGGGTAAGATAAAGGGGCCCCAGGACACATAGATAAATACACACAAAGAAAAGGATTCCCCATATTTTCCCATATTTTATGGATTTTTGTCTTCCCCCCAATCCCCATATTTTCTTGGGAGTGGACGATTACTTGTGTCTGTGTGTTTTTTCCCCTCCGAGAGACTGCTCCGAAACTTCCCGGCGCTGGCCCCGCGGAGCAGGGCGCACGCGCCCGGGCGGCGCGTGCCGAGAGCTCGGGGCGGGCGGTGGCCGGGAGGTGCCACAAAGAATCGGGAGTGGCCAAGAGGGGTGTGTGTCCAAGAGGGGGGGGTGCAAATCATGACCGGCGGCATGTGCGCGGCCCAGCGGGGGGGCCAGGGACGTACTGAAATAAGAAGAGGCGCCATGAAATCTGGGGAAATATCATGACCCCCGCCATGATATCCACCCCCCCCTAATCATCACCCCCCTCTTTTCCGCCCCCGAGAGAAGGGGGCTCCGGGGCGCGCCAACGAACGGGCACGGATCCCAGACCTCCCCACATTGAAGGGGCCCTGGGACACACAAACAAATAGACACAAACAACAGGGTTCCCCATAGTTTCCCACATGTTCGGGGTGTTCGTCTCTTCCCCCCCACTTCCCATGTTTTCCCATATCTTCTGGGGAATCGACGATGATTTGTGTCTGTGTGTTTTTCCCCTCCTGACACATGCTGCCCCAAAGTTTCTGGGTTCCGCTACTCTCAAGAGTGGCCCTGGGCAAGAGTGACCTTTGGTGCGCCGCTTGTTGGGGCCGCGGGGCGACCAAACACAAGCGCACAAGGCGCTACTATCGCATCGCGTTCGACGATCGGGGGACCCCAATGGGCCCGCACCAAAGGTCACTCCGGCGAAGGGTCACTCTTACGTGTAGTCGATGTGTGCTCGTCTTCCCCCCCACGTCCCATATTTTCCCACGTTTTCCCGGGGGTCGACAATGAATTGTGTCTGTGTTTCCCCCCCCCCGAGGTCAACTGGGTGGGAAGACTGGACCTTCTTCGGGCGGGTGTACGGCGGGTTCGTGTCGTGTCGACCTCGGCGTTGGCTTCTGATCTCGTGGGGATCGCTCAACCTTGAGCGATAGGCAGTCTCCGAAAAGTCAGATCCTTCACCATCGACCGATTCTGGATCGCAGGCGGCGCTCCCAGCGTCGAACGTCGGCAGCGGGGCCGCCGCCGGTCGACACGACGCGACCCGACCGTGCCCCGCACGTGGCGACGCTCGGCGAATACCTGAATTGACCCAGCCTGCGCTCCACCCCCACCCACCCCCACCCCCTAATAACCTTCAAGTCGGGCCTGCCCCCTCACAGGGGGATCTTGGACGAAAAATCAAACATACAAAAAAAGAAAGAACAAACACACACACACACACAAACAAACAAACAAGAAACACTCAAACACTGTCAGAAATACTCATCATCTCGTCCCCAGCCTTTTTTCAACTATTTTCGAATGTTCCTCCTGACTTAACTATAACCCCTACCCATCCCGCACCCAACCCCGAAAAGAAAACATAACAAAGGACCGCACAGGTGCAAGACTCCACACCGCCAAGAAGGATCTGGATCCGGTCGCGCGAAACCGCGCAACACCTCACGGTCCGACACACGGCACCGCGCGGCGATGCGCGGGCAAAGCGGACCCGAGAGCCGCAGGTGCGAAACACAGCACGGCAGAACGCGGGGGAAGGTGCAGGCCTGAAGTCGGGCCTGACCCTCTACAGCACGAATGCTCAAAAATTGTCCAGCAAATAGCCGGAGGACGGTATTTTCAGTACTTTTGCATATTGTTTGACTACTTCTCAATCTTCTCGTCCAAAATCCGCTTGCAGGGGGACATGCCCGACCTAATCCGCGCAACACAGAAATAGGATCCACGAAACTCTCCCACACCGAAAAAGGATCCAATTGGATCCATTGGTGTTCTCATATTTTCAGTCCAGGAGGAAAAACTTTCGGCCTGGGGATGTAATGCAGGCCCGGGCTGGACCGAATCACCATCTCAGACCGGGGCGGGAACGGCGCGGGTCGCGCACCGGGGAGATCCGCGCGGAAGCCGATCGGACCGCCGCTCGGGGTCGGCCCCTCTGCCAGCCGGAGAGGGACCCGGCCTGCACCAGGTCGGGTCGGATCGGATCGAGATCGGACTCGAAGCCCGGGGTCTCGAGTCAGATCGAATCGGATCGTGTCGTCGTCGTCGTCGTCGTCGTCGTCGTCGTCGTCGTCGCCGTCGTCGTGGTCGTGGTCGTCGTCATCGTCGTCGTCGTAGTCGTCGCCGTCGTCCGTCCACAGCCACCAAGCCCGGACATTACCAAGCCCCTCCCCTCACCCCCGCGGACGCAACACGTGACATTGCCGGGCCCCTCGTCCTCCCCGCCACACTGGTGACGGACTCCAACGACGACGGCACATCCTGACGGCACCATTGCAACTGCAACCCTCACACAACCCCAAAGGGCACCACACGGGCGGCGCATCCGAGGGATGGAGACAAAATACCGTACCAAACGGCATCTCCTTCTCCTCCTTCTCCCTAGGAGGTTTCCCGACGAGGTCGGTCCACGGAAACCAATAGATCCCGAAAACACATGAAACCCACACCGACAAACAGCAACGAAAAACGCATCAAAATGTTAACCGTCCAAAGCTTCCCGCGCCACAACAGAATACGGAATCGCGCGGAACAACGCAGGGAGCGGATCCGAGACTTGAGGGCTCGGCACTGCGCGACAGCGCACGTGCCAGGGGATCCTAGAACTGGGGCTCACAGTCCCGAGCAGCATCGCGCGGCAGCACCCAGCCAACCGATCCGAGGGTTTTTTGTTACGCACCCTGAGATCCTTCAGTCCAGCGATCTGGCCTCTGAGCGTCTCCATGGCGACTGGGGAGGCGAGGATTACTGAACTGATGGATTTCGGTGTCCTGGCACACGAAATCCATCGCGAAATCGATCAGTTCCGCCGTGGAGACGCTCAGGGGCCAGATCGCTGAGCTGAGGGGTCTCCGGGGGCGCGTTTTCCCTCCTCGACCCCAAGGCTGCTCGGACGCAGCGGGCTCGCCCTGACATCCATGCTTCGCCGGCTGGAGCGCGCGACCGAGACCTTCCAGGGGGGGGGGGGGGTCCTGGCAGGCTGGCCTCCCACGGACGTGGCTCGAGGGCGCCCCGCTCGCCGCTGCCCACGAGCGGCGAAGGCGTCCACGCCCATGCCCTCGCGGTCTGGACGGTGCGCGATCGTGTGGCTCGCCGTCGCTCGGACGTCCATGTCCCGTGCATTTTTCGGATTCGTGCGTGTTTTGTTTTGCTCGTTGGTCGAGGATGGTCCTCGATGGTTCTCGCCGAGAAAAATGCACACGTCCGAGCGATGCCAGGGTGGCCGTGCTCGCGCCAAGGGAGCCCTGCCGCGAGGACTCGGTCGGGCACGTCCTCCTGTGGGCGGATCCTGGAGGGAGGCTGGCAGGGATAGCCAACAGAACAGTTCTCTGACGAACAATCAAAAATTTGCGGAAAGCTCGTGACCCGATGATCTTGGACGCCCGAAATGGGCACGGGAAACATGGGCACAATGCCCAACAACAAGTGTTGTCCCAAACCAACAGCGGCCGCTGTGGGGCAGGCGGCCTTCTGTCTCAAATGGACACCGGCCGCGGCGGCGCGGACAACGAGTCCTCTTCAAAATGAGCAGGAACTGCTAGTGGGCATTGTACCCATTCTTTCTGTACCCATTTCGTTCGTGCAGAATGATTGCTCATGGTTTTTGGAGCATGCCTCCTGTAGAGGGGCACGCCCGACTGCACGCGAGGACGCGGACGTGCCTTCCGCCGCCGCCGCCGCGCAAGCCTAGGGGGGCTGGCCGCGGCCGCCCCGCGGCACAGTCTGTGGTGTCGGCGGCCGGGGGGCGCGGACGGGCCGCTCGGTCCTCCTCCTCGGCGAGGGCGCGCCAGCGGGGGCGTCCAAGAGGGGAGGGTCCAAGAGGGGGGGGGACGCAAATCATGGCAGGCGGCATGTGCGCGGCCGGGGGGGGGGGCGGGGACGCATCGAAATGAGAAGAGGCGCCATGAGATCTGGGGAGATATCATGGCCCACGCCATGATGTCCACTCCCCCCTGGTCATCACCCCCCACTTTGCCGCCCCCGACACCAGCGCGCGAGGGGGGGAGCGTCAGGGGGGGCCAGGCTCGTGGGGGGGGGGACATGTTGGTCGACCCAGAGGGGTGGTCCAGCTGAAAGGGGGTGGTGCCGCAGATTTGGGGCAATTGCATGATTGCCTGGTGTTGCACTGCATTGCAAGTATTGCATTAAGCGCGCGAAAGTACAGCAACACATTGGCGCAACAGAATGTAAGGCACGCCCCAAATCTACTGCAACCCCGCAAATCCATTGCACCAAATCTAATGCACCACCCGCTCTTCGCTGGACCCCGTTTTGGGTCAGCCAGTGACATCGGGCAGGAATTAGCGATGCATCGCCGACAGTTCGACCACAGGCCCGCGATAGCGAAACCACCCGCTCCTGGGCGGGCAAGGGCTTCTTCTGATGATAGCATACCATCAGAAGACGAAACACTGTACAGCACACAAACTCTATGAGGTCTGCGCGAATTTCTTGGATCGGCGCTGGACCCCCGCGCACAGAGCGCGCCAGAGGCGGCGCCAGAGGCGGCGCCAGAGGCGCCGCCAGAAGGCCCCAGCGCCATTTCAAGAAATCCGCGTAGACCTCCGACAGGTTATGCTTATAGTACTCTTCTTCTCTGATGAATGGGCGATTGGGGATCGATGCCTTGTGCCTCTTCGTGCACGATTGTCCGGTGTGCGTACGCCTTGTGGCAGCCGTTTGGGCCAATGCCTGACAAAGGGGGCCACAATCTCCCGAAACGCGTCGCATACATCAGACTGAGCCTTTGAAGGGGCCCTGGGACAAACACATAAGTGGACACCAAGAACAGGATTCCCCATGTTTTCCTTTATTTTCTGGGTTTCTGTCTTACCCCCCACTTCCCATATGTTCCCCTATTTTCTGGGGAATCGACGATTACTTGTGTCTGTGTGTGCTGTTTCGCCGGTTCGGGCTTCGCGGGGCCGTCCCCGCCCAGGCTGGGCGGGCTGCTGAGGCCGAGTTGCTGCGGCCCAGTGGGTATGGGGACGGTGCTGCTCGGTGTTCCCCCCCGTACAGTCAGCCCGTATAGTCAAGGATGCGCGATGATGAAGGGGCCCTGGGACACACACACATAAATACACACGAATAGCAGGATTCCCCATATGCTTCCAATATTTTCTCGGGGGGTGTATTCCCCCCCACTTCCCATATGTTCCCAGAATCGATGATTAATTGTGTCTGTGTGTTGTTTTCCCTCCTGAGATAAGGATGCAAGGGCCCTGGGCGCCCATTTCGGAGCTTCTCGAACGGGGGACGGCCAGCGAGAGTGGCGAGGGACGGACCGAGGAGGCGAGGATGCAAGGGTACCCTTGGGAAGATTGCCCATCCTAGCTATGCGGGTTGACTGTATCTCTGGAGGCAGGAAAGGGATGTGGCATGAAGGAGTGTTGTGCCCAATCGTGGAAATGGAGATGCTGTCTACACTAGGTAGCATCGCCAGATCCAGCACTGGCACCACACCCCTGTATGCCACGCCCCTGTTCCGACCTTCAGAGGAACTCATCCCCCCCGTCCCCGGCAGATACCTCGGGCATACGCTCACAGGGACCAGGAGTCCGTGGATCTGGCGCGTGGGCGACAGATCCACGCCATGGGGAAAGCACCCCCCGAAGGTGAAGCAGGGGCAGCGCTCCATCTGGCCGCGGAGCGCGTCGGCCTCGCATGTGAACGGCGCCCGTCGCCAATCCGCGCGCCTTCATCCACGTGTTTCGTTTCCTCTGCTCTCGGGCCATAACTTTGGGTCGGGCCTTTCCCCCTACAGGGCGGATCTGGACGAAAAATAAAAATTGGTAATAAACAAAAAACCCATAGTGATCAAAAATGTTGGAAAAATCGTCCCCAGGCTGTTCTTCTACTGTTTTTGAATGTTCCTCCTGTAGAGGGACAGGCCCGATTTAATCACGACTCGTCGGGGATCTTCTAACCCGGGTCAATCCAGACCCAGATCAGCAGGAGACCAAAAACTGCAATGCAGGAAAAAAAAAATGCAACGCTGATCTTCGCAAACCCAGGTCAGCCAGAGGGGGTCTTCGCAGGATCCTGCAGGATCCGGTGTCCTGGCTGACCCCCGTTTGGATTGACCCCCGTCTCAAGGCTCTCGATTGTTATTATTATTATTACTACTATTATTATTATTATGATTATTATTATTGTTATTATTATTACGATTATTATTATTATCATTATTATTATTGTTATTTTTAATAGTATTATTAGTATTAGTAGTATTAGTATTAGTATTAGTATTAGTATTAGTATTAGTATTAGTATTATTACTATCATTATTATTACGATGTATGTATCCGAATTCCGCCCGCGCGGACCCGATTCCGGAGTTTCTGGATCCGCGTCCAGCCCTGTTTTCACGGCGGATCCGATGTCTACGCCCGCTGTAGGTCTATAGGTTAGTACGTGAAAACGGGGAGCCGGACGAAATCGGATCCACGGACCCCGGAACCCGCCCGACTCCGTGAGAGATCGTCCATCCGCCCCCCCCCTGAGCCTATATCTCGGCGGCGAGCCTGGGGGGCAAGTGAGAGAGGGTGCAGGCCTTCTCAACGGCGGCGGGGCTTCTCTCAGCAGCTCCCGAGCCCTCTGAGAAGCCCTGTAGGCCTCTCCGAAGACAGAGGCGGCCCCTCAGAAGACCTGCGAGCCTCTGAGAAGCCCCGCCGCTGTCTGGCCTGCCCCCTCTCACCTCCCCTGGACTCGCCGCCCGACAATCCCCCCCTGACGTGCCGGCGACTCTGGAGGGGGTGGTTTGGAAAGGGTGTGGTCTGCAACGCGCACCCTGGTGGGGGCGGGCGAGGGCCTCGACAGAGCTCTCCGCCGCGCCCCGCGGGGGCCCGACGGGGCAGCGTGGTGCCCCCCGATCCCCAACGACGTAAATCGCAAACCACACTCCGGCGTAACCGCACCCGCTTTAGTCGCCGAAAGTTGCCGCCGAGCGCGGCCCGTGTCCTTCCCCAACAGCCTCCCAGAGGGGATCCGAGTAGACGGGGCGGGATGATCGACCCGCCTCGGCGATGCATCAGCGACGTCGTTGCGGAGAACGTCGGGCTCCGCGTCGAGCCGCCTCGCCGATGCATCGGCGATGCGGCGCGATCCTCCGACCCCACCTGCTCCGACCCCATCTCGGGTGTTGCTAGAAGTGCCTCCCGCCCAGGGTGCCCGCAGGACTTCCCAGGAGACCCCCTCGGCCTCCGGAGCAGCCCTCACGGGGCCTAGGGAGCCCCACCCAGCGTTTCCAAACTTGAGCGAAAAGCTGAGAAGAAGAAGAAGAAGGAGCAGAAGAAGAAGGAGCAGAAAAAAACACAAACATAAACTGTTGGCGCTCCGCGCGGATTTCTTGGATCTGCACTGGACTCCCCTCCCTGGCGCGCGGAGCGCGCCAGTCGGGTCGGGCGAAAGGGGAGGATACCAAAGGGGGGGGGTTGAGAATCAGCTCACGTAGCTGATTTTCCTGGCGCCTCCCGGCGCCAGAGGCGCCCATGTATCGAGGAATGGGCCCCTCGGTGGGGCCGAAACCAGCTGCATGCAGCAAATTCCGTAACCCCCCCTTTCCCAATCCCCCCCTTTCGCCCGACCCGAGCCAGGGGCGGCGCCAGAGGCGCCGCCTGGGGGGCCCAGCGCGGATCCAAGGAATCCGCGCAGAGCGCAGAAGGTTTATGTTTATGGCTTCTTTTCTTCTTCGAGAACTGGGGGCACCATGGGCCAGGGACACCCTTCGCAACCACCGAGAGGGGCGCGGGAACGCGCCGGGCGTCGAGCAGCGCGCTTCTGGCTCTCTCGACGGGGCGCGGGGGCGGAGCTGGGCAGCAGCGGGCTGGGCACGCCTCCGGCCTGGGCGTTCTTGGCGCGCGGAGCGCGACAGAGGCGGCGCCGGAAGCACCTCCAGGCGGGCCCGACGCCGGTCCGCGAAATCCGCGCGGACCGCCGGGAAAGAGTGCTCATGCTGTCTTGGCCATCCGAAGGATGATGGCCAGAGGATCTGCCGGGAGAAGGCGAGGCACGATCCCGTCCAAGTCTCACACGAGCCCGTGCCTCTCCATCCCGAGCACGGACAGCTCCACGACCTCGTCGAGAAGTTTCTGGACGATCGGCTTGAACAGCTTCGCCTCCATGCTTTCTGTGAGCAGCGGAATGTCGATCCTGGTGGGTTCGTTTCCACCACCACCACCACAAGTAGGAGGGTGAGGGGGTCCTCCTCCTCCTCCTCCTCCTCCTCCTCCTCCTCCTCCTTCCCCCCTCCAACTTATGGTGGTGGTGGTGGTGAAAAACAGGCACATCAGATCCTCTTATTGAGCGCCTCCACGAGGGGAGCCCTCACGTGGTGCGCGAGGATCTGCTGGATCTTCGCGGTCTTCTCTCGGTGCTCCATGGCATCGTCGAGGAGAGTGCGCAGCGCGTCGACCCAGGGCTCGGCCATGAAGGTCAACAATGCGCCCCGCAGATTGGCGTTGACATTCTTCATCAGAGGCTCGAATATGAACTTCCGCTCGGCTTGCTCCTCTGGGTAGCCGAGAGCTTGAACTACAGTCATACAAGGAAGCAGGAAACACGAACGGCTGGACGCACATGCAGAACGCGCGGAGACCACTCGTCGAATACACGTGAGGAGAGCCCTTTGGCACAGCCACGCGACGGCCGGGCGCCAGAAAGACATGCGGCCGCATGTTCGGAAGCCCGAAATGGGTATGGAACACATGGATGCGATGTCCAACAACAGCTGCTGTCCAAAGCCGACAGCGGCCGCTTTGGGGCAGGCGGCTTCCTGTCTCAAACGGTCAACGGAAGCTCACGACGAAACCGACAGCAAATCTTGCTCAGAATGGGCAAGAACTGATGTCGGTCTCCGACACCACTCTTTCCGTAGCCACGTCGTGTGTACCGTCGGACCTCAGCCAGAAGAACATCCCACAAGCACATGAGACCCTCCGCTGGCCAAAACTCACAGAACATCCAAGGGTACCCTCCACAGGAATCACAAGAGTATCCAACAAACACGAAGAACACTAGGGTACCCTCCCCGAGCCGACCTCGACCTTATACCTCGGTCCGACTGTACCCACGTCGCGTGTAACAATCAAGCCTCCCGGCGACGAGGTCCAGACTCCTCGTCGCTCCTCCCCCAGAGGTGCCCAAAAACCACCGCAGGACCCCAAGAGGGTCTGCGCGAGGCACCGTAGGGGGCTCCCGTGACACCTCCATGCCCGATCTCGGACGTCGTCGTGATTTGCGCGTCTGGGGCGCAAATTAATAAGGGGGCGATAAATGGGGGAGACGAAAGGTCGGGCCCTAAAGGCTCCCTCCGGGCCCGCAAAGCTCCCTGCGCGGGCCCTGAAGGGCCCCTCCTCTGCAGCCCTCGCTGCCCCCCCAGTTATCGCCCCCCCCATTGCGCGGCCTCCAAGTGTCGCAGCGCGTCCCCTTCTCTGGGACCTGTGTTGCAATCCGAGCGCTCTGCTGACGATCCCGGGGCCCCGTGAGGGCCCGCAACTGGGCGAAAACGTCCGTTGCAAAAATCGGGTTGACCCAGAAGGGGGTCCAGCGACAAGGGGGTGGTGCAATAGATTTGGTGCAATAGATTTGTGGGGTTGCAACACATTTGGGCGTACAATACATTCCAGGGCGCAGATGTATTGCTACACGTTCGCGTGCAATGCACAACTTGCAAATACAATGCAACACTATTCTCCGGCGCAACACATTTGCAATACGATTGCCCCGAGAATCTATTGCACCCCCCCCCTTTCCTTTCAGCTGGGCCCCCTTCATGGTCACCCAGAACGAAAAGCAACGCCAGGATCTGAGAGCCTACGCACCCCCCCCCATCTGCGCGTCTCTCGGAAGCTGGGCGAGGGCTGCCAACACCGTGGCTGCTAAAACAGCCCTCCCGGAAGGAAAAGACAGCTTCCCGGAAGGAGGCGCGGCACGCGGAACAGTCCACGGGCTCCTTCCCGGAAGCACGAAGGCAACTTCCTAGAGGTCGATGTCAGCAGCCACGGATTTAGCAGCCCTTGCACGGCTTCCGAGAGTAGATAGGGATCGGAGGATCGCGCCGCATCGCTGATACTTCGGCGATGCATCGGCGATGCAGTGGCGACGCACCAGCGATGCAGTGGCGACGCACCCGCGATGCATCGGCGACGTCGCCGTGGAGCAAATCGGGCCCCACGTCGAGCCGCATCGGCGACGCACGGGCGACGTGGCGAGATCCGCCGACCCCATCTGCTCCGACCGCGTCTCGCGGGGCCTGGGAAGCTTTGTAGGCTTCCGCGTCTCCGACATCAGCGGGATGTCGACGGCCTCGTTGATGCGGTCGACGATGCAGTCCACCGCGCGGCCGCTCAGCATGTGCGGCTGGGCCTCCGGCGCCCCAGGACCGGGCCCGGGCGCAGCGGCCCTCCACCAAAATGCGCGCGGCCCCCTCTCTCCTCCTCCTCCTCCTCCTCCTCCTCCTCCTCCTCCTCCTCCTCCTCCCCTCCTCCTCCTCCTCCTCCTCCTCCTCCTCCTCCCTCCTCCTCCTCCTCTCCTCCTCCTCCTCCTCCTCCTCCTCCTCCTCCTCCTCCTCCTCCTCCTCCTCCTCCTCCTCCTCCTCCTTCCTCCTCCTCCTCCTCCTCCTCCGCCTCCTCCTCCTCCTCCTCCTCCTCCTCCTCCTCCTCCTCCTCCTCCTCCTCCTCCTCCTCCTCCTCCTCCTCCTCCTCCTCCTCCTCCTCCTCCTCTCCTCCTCCTCCTCCTCCTCCTCCTCCTCCTCCTCCTCCTCCTCCTCCTCCTCCTCCTCCTCCTCCTCCTCCTCCTCCTCCTCCTCCTCCTCCTCCTCCTCCTCCTCCTCCTCCTCCTCCTCCTCCTCCTCTCCTCCTCCTCCTCCTCTCCTCCTCTCCTCCTCCTCCTCCTCTCCTCCTCCTCCTCCTCCTCCTCCTCCTCCTCCTCCTCCTCCTCCTCCTCCTCCTCCTCCTCCTCCTCCTCCTCCTCCTCTCCTCCTCCTCCTCCTCCTCCTCCTCCTCCTCCTCCTTCGCCTCCCCTCCTCCTCCTTCGCCTCCCCCTCCTCCTCCTCCTTCGCCTCCTCCTCCTCGTCCTCCTCACCCTCCTCCTCCTCGTCCTCCTCCCCATCCTTCCCTTCCTCCCCCTCCTCCTGCTCCTCCTCCGCCTCCTCCTTCTTTTTCTGCTGCTTCTTATAAGTATTGTTCGTAGTCGTAGTTTTCTGCGTCTCATTCTCAGGATCCTTCGTATTAGTCTACGCAATCTTATGAATATGCGTGTGTTTCTCCTTCGTCGTAGCCTTCGCATAATAATTATTTGGATTAGTAACCGTGTGTGCCTTCTTATTATTAGTAGTACTATTATTATTATTACTAGTAGAAGTAGTAGTATTAATATTAGTATTAGTATTAGTAGTATTAGTATTATTATTATTAGTATTATTATTATTACTATTATTAGTATTAGTAGTAGTAGTATTATTATTAGTATTATTATTAGTATTATTATTATTATTCGTATTTCGTATGTGTAATCGTAGTTGTCTGTTTTATCATTGATCGTATTCGTATTTCACGTCTTGGTATTATCAGTAGGTTTCTTCTTCGTGAGATTGGTAGTATTCGTATGGCTTGTCTTCGTCGCATTATTCCTCCACCTCCTCCTCCTTCTACTCCTCCTCCTCCTCCTCCTCCTCCTCACCCCCCGCCCCCCCCTCAACCTCTTCCCCCTCCTCCCCCTCATCCCCCTCCTTCCCATCCTCTCCCTCCTCCGCCTCCTCCTCCTCCTCACCAATTTGGAGGACGGGCGAGGTCCCCCAAATATGCAACATAAGCAAGGCAGAAACGCCCGTTGTGAAAGAAGGCAGCTCGGGAGCGCCCAAGAGGGGGGCGTCTCTTGGGGGCGCAAATCATGGCCGGCGGCACGTGCGCGGCCCAGGGGGGGGGGGCCGCGGGCGTATTGAAAGGAGAAGAGGCGCCATGAAATCTGGGGCGATATCATGACCCTTCGGCGGCAACTCATGGGAGCCTCTAGAACCATTTTGTCGGCTCTTGCGAATCGACGCTAATCGACGCTTGTCGACGCTAATCGCACTAAATCGACGCTAATCGACGCTAGCCAACGCTAAATCGGCGCTATATCATCGACTCCCAGACGCTAAAAGAACGCTAGTCGACGCCAAAGACGGAATTCAGAAGGTGTATCAGGCGCCCATGATTTTGCTACCGAATGACCCCCGCTACGATATCCACCCACCCCTAGTCATCACTCACCCCTTGGCCGCCCCCGAGCAACGCCCAGATCTGTGCGCGGGCACCCTGGGAGGGCGCGCTGCAGCGCGCTGCATGCCTGGGCGGCAGCGGCCAAGAGACCCGCCGCGGGCCTCGGCCACGACACTGCGCCGCCTCTCCTCGACGACCTCCCGCGTCCTCGGAGGGAACGACGGGGGGGGAACTGGAGCAGGGTCAATTGTCCTACTCTTAGCGTGCATGTGATGTCGGGCCCTGCGAAACAGAAGCCGCTGACACGCTGAGCAGCGCCGGTGCCTGCACGCTGAGCAGGGTCGGGTGAAGCGGCCCTCCGATATGCACGCTGTGGGGAAACCAGGAACCGCAACTCCCCGGACCTCTGCCGGGGTGCGTTCTGAGCAGAACTTCGAGGCGAATCCAGCGGTGGCGACGAGGGCCTCCCAGGAGACCGAAAAAGGGGAAAACGGGAAAAGTGTACTGGCATGGGTGCCTTTCCTCTCCTCTGACGCCAGGCACCAGACACGCAGGATACACGCCAAGTGCGGAGCACTCAGCGCGTATAGTAGGCCTACGTACTCCCAACGACACGCTAAGAGCAGAACCAGGACCGCAGGGGGGGGGGAGGGAGATCGACCTGGAATCGGCGCTGCCTCGCCGACAGACCGGCCCCCAATGCAGCGGATCCGCACGCTCATGGGCGGGGTGGGGCCATCAGCCCTGTCGGCGCTCAGTGGGCCGTTGGGGGGTCGATGCACCCCCCACCCCCCTGCATCGATGCATCTCCCCCTGAGCTCATCCCCTCCTAACGTGTCCCCTCACTCGCCATCGCTTGGACGTCCATTCCCTGTGTTTTTGTTCGGTTTCGTGCGTGTTTTTTTTCGCCAAATGGTCAAGGATGCTCCTCGATGGTCCTCGCCGAGGAAAAAACGCACGCGTCCGAGCGATGCCAAGCTCATGGCTTTCGGCCCATAACTCGGCTCTCCAGCGACCGCTCGGAGCGATGCGGGCACTCAGGGAGCGCTGTCGGCGAGGCGCAGCTGCTGGAACGCAGCCCCGAGGCTAGAAGACCGCGGAGGCTTTCACAAACGCCCAGAATTGAGCAGGGACCGACCGTCCCGGCATTCCTGTAGTCCTACCACGAAATGTTCTTAGAACCCAAAAATGTTCTAAGACCAAAGCACTGTTCTTAGAACATAAACCCGATGTGATACAAGACAGCCTCCGCCAGGCATGTTCTAAGAGAATTTCGTGGGAACCACAGAAAGGTTTTTAGAACATTGCTGGGTAGGGCTAATTATAGGCGAGCCAGGACGCTTCGCCACTGCTTGACAGAAGCCTCGAGCAAGGGGGGTCTCCCTGGTGGTGTGGCCCCCCTCTCGCTCGAGACACCCCCAGCCTCCAGCTCGGGGAGGCCTCGTGGACCTCCTCGCTGGAGATGACCCCCTGGTGGTGTTGGTGCAGCACCTCCCCCCTCCGATTAAGGAACTGAACTTTCTACACCAATGCTTTTCTCCGGTCCCGCACTGAGATTCGCACAAGAAAACGGATTCTGGTGTATCCGGCATCCTGGCGTATACATTTTTCGATGTTTCCCCGGGACAACGGGGAAAAGAGTATACACCACACCACCCCGACGTCACCCCCGACCCTCAAAAAAACCCTGGGATTGAACAGCAGCCCGCCACTGGTCATGTATATGTTCCAGTTTCCGATCCGAGACCGTTGCCCCTGACGTCCACGCCGCGCCACTGCTCCACTGGATCCGCGTTTTTTTACCGGTTCCGGCTGCAGTTCCAAATCCTGGAGCCGTTTCTTTGCCGTTTCTGGTCCCCGTTTTTCTTGCCGTTTCCATTTTCAACACTTTTTTCGGAAACAATGAAAAAACGGCCCTGCCGTTTTTCCGGGGCCCACTAAGTCGTGGACCTCCTCGCTGGAGGTGGCCCCCCTGGTGGTGTTGGTGCAGCCTCTCCCCCCTCCGATAACGTTGCCCCTGATGTCCACGCAGCGCCGCTGCTCCACTGGATCCGCGTCAGCCCGGCGTTCACCTCGGGAGCGCCCCGGCGGCCGCCCTCCTCGTGCTCCTCGTCGCCTCGCCTGCTCCTCCCCTTTGGTCCTCCTCCTCCTCCTCCCCCTCCTCCTCCCCCTCCTCCTACTCCTCTCCTCCTCCTCCTCCTCCTCCTCCTCCTCCTCCTCCTCCTCCTCCTCCTCCTCCTCCTCCTCCTCCCCCCTCCTCCTCCTCCTCCTCCTCCTCCTCCTCCTCCTCCTCCCCCTCCTCCCCCTCCTCCTCCCTCCTCCTCCTCCTCCCCTCCTCCTCCTCCTCCTCCTCCTCCTTCTCCTCCTCCTCCTCCCCCTCCTCCTCCTCCTCCTCCTCCTCCTCCTCCTTATGATTAGCACGTCCTCTTAATCGTGTGATTAGTCTCATTCATAGTCCTCCTGGTAGCTATGAATCATCTTCCTGGCAAGATTGATGTTAGTCGCATTCTTCATATATGTCTTACCTATACGACCACCCTTCGGGTGATAAGGAGGTTGTGGGAGGGGTAGAGGGGGGAAATCAACATCTGACTCAATCGATCTCACTAACGATCTCACTCAACGGGACACCACGGGACACCACGGGACACCACGGGACACTCGTCGATCTCACTATCGATCTCACTTTTTGGGACACCACGGGACACCACGGGACACCACGGGACACCACGAGACACCACGGCACACTTGTCGATCTCACTATCGATCTCACTCCACGGGACACCACGGGACACCACGGGCCACCACGGGACACCACGGGACACCTCGGGACACCTGTCGATCTCACTATCGGTCTCACTATCGATCTCACTATCGATCTCACTCAACGGGACACCGTAGGACACCACGGGGCACCACGGGACACCACGGACACCTTTCGATTTCACTATCGATCTCACTATCGATCTCACTTTTTGGGACACCACGGGACACCTCGGGACACCTCGGGGCACCACATCGATCTCAGTATCGATCTCACTATCGGTCTCACTATCGATCTCACTATTGATCTCACTATCTATCTGATTCAGCGGGACACCACGGACACCACGGGCCACCACGTAGCAACGGCAGACACCACGGGACACAACGGAACACCGCGAGCCACCGACGGACGGAGGAGAATCATTTGTCTTGACTTCGCCCTAGCAACGGCGGACACCACGGGACACCACGGGACACAACGGGACACCAGCGGGACACCGGCGGGACACCGCGGGCCACCCGCCGCCAGAAGAGAAACATTTGGTCCGTCCGCGGCCCACCCAGATGAGGATTTCGGGACACCAGCGGGACACCGCGGGCCGCCGGCCGCCGGAGAAGAAACATTTGGTCCGGCCGCGGCCCAGCCACAGGAAGATTTCCTCTCGCCCGCCCACGCAGCTTCGCCTCGCACGCACGCACGGCACGCACGACACGAACCCGAAACCGAAATCGAATTCCCGGTGGGGGGAGTCTCCGTTTCACGTTGGACTCACCCCCCAACCTCCGATTATTACTATGACTCGAATTATGAGTAGTCTTGGTAGCATTTCCATCCTTTTTTGTATTCCGCCTCCTCCTCCTCCTCCTCCTCCTCCTCCTCCTCCTCCTCCTCCCCCCCTCCTCCTCCTCCTCCTCCTCCTCCTCCTCCTCCTCCTCCTCCTCCTCCTCCTCCTCCTCCTCCTCCTCTTCTCGTCCTCATCACCACCACCACCACCACCACCACCACAACAGGGCAAGCAAGCAAAAACAGCCAGCAACCAAAAAAACGCGGAGGGTTGGGCCCTTGTCCTGCGTGCGCAGCGCCGCGCGCTCCGTCCTCTCTCTCCACCTCGCCACTCCTCTGCATGGCATCGGCAGGAGGTGACTAGCTTTCTGTCGGGCCTGTCCCCCTACAGGGGGATTCTCGACGAAAAATCTATAAAAATACCCCGGAAATACCCCAGAAAAGGTCAACCAATACTCAAAAAAAAATCCCCTGACTATGTTTGGACTATGCTTTGCCTATGTTTGGAATATTTTTGAATTTTCGTCGAAAATCCCCCTGTAGGGGGACAGGCCCGCCTTAAGACTAGCTAAGGGTGTGCTATCGACCTCGAATCGGCGACACATCGCCGATACATCGGCGGTAAGACCCCGATCGCAGATCCGCGCGCTCACGTGGGCCGGGCGTGACCATCGGGCCCCGGTCGGCGATGTGTTGGCGAGTGGGGGTCGAGGCGTTCCCCTCTGAGCCCTCCTCCTCCTCCTCCTCCTCCTCCTCCTCCTCCTCCTACTGATCATCGTCCCCTTTCCTCGTCATTGTTTTCCATCCACCTCCTCCTCCTCCTCCTCCTCCTCCTCCTCCTCCTCCTCCTCCTCCTCCTCCTCCTCCTCCTCCTACTGCACCTCCCCCTGCCCTTGCCCCCGAACTGGGGGGGGGCAGCGGACCGACGCCCCACGCAGACCTGGGCGAGACCTCGCCCCCATTGGTCCTGGCAGGTGCGCGACAGCCGCCGCTTCTGCGAGCTCGGCCTCGCCGCCACGAGGGCAGTCGACGCCGCCAGCCAGGAGGGCGCCGACGATGTGAAGGGGCCCTGGTGGCGTCTGACTCCGAAGCTTTGTGGGGCTACGACGTCGTGCAACCTGCGCGCCAGATACGACCCCAGGACTGAACCCTCTGTCGGGGGCCGCCCGCGGATCTGGCGGCGCGCCTGCGGGGCGTTCAGTGCCCGAACGGCCAGGCGCAGGAGAGGCAGAGAAGTATGCGGGCCAGCTCGGCCTGGCGGGGATCCTGCGCGACTGGGCCAGCGAGCCGTCAGCCGCGCGCCCGTGTGCTTCGCTGCGCGCCACGCGCCCACGCAAGCGCGCGCTCGCGCGGCTGCGTGCCGGTCCTGAATGGCGCAGGTCGGGGCCGCGAATGTCGCTTGCAGGCCTCAGACCAGAACCGTATGTTCTTGCCCTCCGCGCTCCACGCTGTCCTCTGTGTCCTACTTGTGCTGACGCTCGTCCTCGCTCATGCCATCATGCCCATCGGGGCGTTGACCTAAGGAACCCTAAATAAGGAACGAGGCCCCTTATTTCCATAAGTTAAACTTCGACTTCCCATCGAAACCATGAAAACCCGAGGCAAGCCGTGTAGCAATCACGGAACACCGAGCCCCTCCCCAACGAAAAGGGTTCCTTCTTCAGCGCCCCGACTGTAACGCAGAGCCGTGTCCTCTCCTCCTCGCCGGCTTCCCTCTGCCTGGACCCTCCAGCGCCTCCCCTGCGGCAGCGTCTCGCGCAGGTCCCGTGGGGCGTGCCAGAACCGCGCGACCACCCCGCATCCCCACCCGTCTCACCGCACGGTGTGGTCACCGCACGCTCGGTGGCCCCGAGCCAGTCCCCGAGCAACTCGTCGGCCGCGGGGCTGGCAAACCGCCCCCACGGGACGAACGCCTCGACAGAGCGGCCGCCGCGAGCTCTTCTTGAGACGCCCAGATCTGGAGGGGGGTGCTTTCCTTGCCGTGGGCTAAAAAAAAGAACAAGCTGCATACGCATAACCTCCTGGAGGTCCGCGCGGATGTCTTGGATCCTCGCTGCACCCCCTGGGCGCCGCCCCTGGCACGCTCCGCGCGCCAAGGGGGCGCCCTGCGCCAGTCGACACCGTCCGCGCAGACTTCCAGCAGTTCATGCTTGTAGCGTTGCTTCTTCTGCGGCCACAGCAAGCCCAAGAGTGCACCAGCGATGCTGCAGCTCAAGGGCACATCAGCGCCGTTACTTTTCTTATGTTGATTCGGATGAGCATGTAAAGCATGAGGCTAGAATCATCAATGATAATGATAACCTGATGTATCTTATTGGTAACACTCTTACTACTGCTACTACAATGGAGCCCCAGATGGCCTTCCCGTCGACGGTGCTGCCGCCGAAGGACAGCGTGACGGCGCGGGTGGCCCTGTCGAAGGCGAGCATGTAGCCGCAGTCGCTCCGGTACGCCCCGCCATCTCCTGGGGCTCTCAGAGGGCCGTGGCAGAGGGAGGAGCAGGAGGGAGGAGCAGGATGATCAGAGTGAGGGGGCCGAACGATCGTTGATTGTGCCTGGGTGCGTGGCTGAATAAGGAATTCGTGGTGAGAATTCTGCTTGTTGCGTTGTTGTTGTTGTTCTTGTTGTTGGTGTTGTTGTTGTTGCGGTTGTTGCTGTTGTTGGTGTTGTTGGTGGTGTTGTTGTTGATGTTGTTGTTAGTGCTGTTGTTGTTGGTGGTGTTGCTGTTGTTGTTGCTGTTGCTGCTGGTGTTGGTGGTGGTGTTGGTGTTGTTGTTGTTGCTGTTGCTGTTGGTGTTGGTGTTGCTGTTGTTGATGTTGATGTTGATGTTGATGTTGTTCTTGGTGGTGTTGTTGCTGATGTTGTTGTTGCTGCTGTTGTTGCTGTTGTTGTTGGTATTGTTGGTGTTGGTGTTGTTGTTGATGTTGTTGTTGTTGGTGGTGGTGTTGTTGTTGTTGGTGGTGTTGTTGCTGTTGTTGCTGTTGTTGTTGTTGATGTTTGTTGTCGTCGTCCCACCCACGACCCACCCGCGACCCACCCCGCGACCCACCCCGCGACCCACCCGCGACCCGCGACCCACCAGCGACCCAACCCGCGACCCACTCGCGACCCACTCGCGACCCACCCGCGGCCCGCCCCGCGACCCACCCGCGACCCACCCCGCGACCCATCCGCGACCCATCCGCGACCCACCTGCGACCAAACCCGCGACCCATCCGCGACCCACCCCGCGACCCACCTTCACGGGAGGAAAAACCACCCGGACCCGACAATTGACGTTTACTAAAGCAGCCTTGGGCGTTGACTAAGCAGCCCTGCCCTGTTCGATTCATTCCTTGTGTGCGTTTACTAAACGGCTTCGTTTATCGGGGTGAATATTCTGGTGGTGATTTTCTGCCCTCTACACCCGCGACCCACCCGCGACCCACCCGCGACCCATCTGCGACCCACCCGCGACCTACCACTCTGGTTTGACGAACAAAATCGGCGCCTGCGGCGGGCTCGTTGCATAACTTGTGAAGCCTGGGCGCCTGCGGCGGGCTCCTCCAGAGCCTCGCAAGCTGCCGACGTCCCCACCGCCCCCATCACTCTTATCCGCAACTGCGGGGTGCTGCGTATCGTATTGTGGTTGTCCTGTGTCAGAATCAATGGTCGCTGCCCTGGGAGGGAGGACTGGGAGGGAGGCCCTGGTACTGGTCACGCCTGGGCGGGACAGGGCGCGTCGGTGCGGGGGTGCGCTGCGATCGCCCTGATGTGCGTCCGCGCACCAGCTGGAAAGGGGGGTCCCCCACCCCGGGCCCTACGCACGATCGCTACCGTTACCCAAGGGAGGTTGGCCTGGGAGGAACGACCGCCACACGCCACAGGACAAGAAGCAGTCTCGAAGACGAGGAGGAAAGAGGACCCGGGAGCCCCTGGAGGGTTTCATGAGGTGCCCTGGAGGCCTGTCGGAAGGGGTAGGGGCGGGAGTGGGATGTGACACTGCACCGCTGCAGCACAGGCTTCGAGTGCCAAGGGTAATGGGATTGGGCTCCAGGGCAGAAGGCTGAGTGACGAAAGAGTCGCTTCACAAGTGTGGTCGCGTCTCGCCCGAAATCTGCGACATAGGCCGCCAATGGCGAAGCCGCGTGTTCCTGGGCGGGGTGGGTTCTCAGCCCCTGTCGGCGATGACCGAGTGATCGGGAGTCGATGCGTTCCTCCCAAAGCCCAGCCCGCCCTAGTGTTGCCCCCGAGGGCCTCCAGGGAACCCAAGAGGACCGAAGAGGGCCGAAAGCGCAAAAACGAGAACAACTAAACAACAGACAACCAAACAAACAACCAAACAAACAAACAAACGAGAAAGCCGAAACGCGGCGGCAGCGGCTTCTCGTCGACGCGGGCGGGGGGCATATCCGCATCCACAGCCTCGGGGCCCGACCCCCAGCAGCCGAGACTGGAGAGGAGGAGGAGGAGGAGGAGGAGGAGGAGGAGGAAGACGAGGAGGAAGCGGGTGAGGAGGAAGAGGAGGAGCGAGGAGAAGGAGCGAGGAGGAGCGAGGATTGAGGAAAAGGAGGAGGAGGAGGAGGAAGAGGAGGAGGACTGGCGCGGAACGCACCCTCAGGATGTCGCACCCACGGGAGCGCGGCCCCGAGTCAGGGGCCCGAGGGCACGCATCGTGCCCGTCGCTCGCGAGTTCCAGTGCAGGTCAGGCAGCCTCTCCCGACCCCGGGGGGGGAGCAGGAGGGAGGAGGAGGAGCGAGGAGCAGGAGGGAGACGCGCTGCTGGTGGAGGGGCCCATCCAATGATTTTTGGCCAAGGCGGTGGTGGCGCCATCCACTGCCCTGCCACGAAGGCGCCCCCCCCCCACCCCAAAAAAAAAGCGCGAGCCAAAAGGAGCGAGGAGGAGAACGAGCGAGAAGGGAGGAGGAAGGGAGGGGACGAAGAGGACGAGAAGCAAAGAGGAGCGAGGAGCGCGGAGGAAGAGGAGCGAGGAGGGAGGGACGAGAAGCGGGGAGGAGGAGCGAGGAGGGAGGGACGAGCAGCGAGGAGGAGGAGCGAGGAGGGAGGGACGAGGAGCGACGAGGAGGGAGGAAAGGGAAAACGAGGAGCGATCCCCAAACCACCCCTCCCTGTCCCAGACCCCCGACGCCGTGCTTTGTCACATGTGTTTTGTTCAACGCGGAGGGGCCTTGACTTAGGTCGGACATGTCCCTCTACAAACGGATTTGGGACGACAAATTAAACATAGTCCCAAAATATTCAAACGTAGTCAAAAATACTCAAAACATCAGAATTGGCTCTTGGGTTTCTCCCGAGGTCCTTCTGAGCCACCGCGGGTTCTCTGGGGTTCTCTTGCGGTTTTTCTCGGGCCATGCTTTGGCTTTTCGTCCCGAGCAGCCCTGGAAGGCCCCAGATGCCCCCGGGCGTACCCCCCCACCTGGGGTCCGAAAGTGACAACCAAAACAACCTCTGGCCGTGTTTGTTTATTACTTTTCTAGATATAATGTGTATATGTTTACGAACATATACATATATATATATATACACACACATATATATACACACACACCTATTTACAAGACTGCATTGGCGCTTCGCGCCATGCGCTTTGTTCCGGACCCTCCCCGGCAAAGCAATAAATCATCGCTTGCTTCAGCGGAGGGGACCTCGAAGCCTGGACGGGCGACCGGCTCATTGTTCTGTTTTCCCTGGTGCCTGCTGACACCGCGTTCGCCCGATGCGCTTGCACGCTTGTGCGCAGGAGTGGGGAAGGAATGATGATTTTCTCGCGCGCGAAGGTCCTTTGAAAGAGTAAGGAGCGTTCCCATGACACGCCGAAGACGTCGCAATAACTCCGAACAAATCGATGTTTGGTAGCTTCCTGGATGCCTAGAGGGCCCCAGGCACTTAGGAAATCTTCGATCGTCGAACTTCGAACATAGATCCAGTGCCTGTTTCTCTCGATCGAAGAACTTAAACCTCGAGCCTGAAGCGTGGAACCAAGATCGTCAGGTCAGCTCGATATACTGCGTAGGAAAACGCCGTCTGGGCGTTTTGGGGGCTCTTTTGGGCCGTCCTGGGGCCCTTGTGGGCCGTCCCGGGGCCTTCTCGGGCCGTCTTGGGAAGCTGGGGCCCTCCGTAGGTCTTCTGAAGCCATGTAGGGCCCTTTGGGGGGCCTCCAAGGGCCTTCTTGGGGGTCTCCCATGGCTTTCGTGGGTCTCTCTTGGGAGCCTTCTGGGGCATCTTAGGCTTCTTGCGGGCAGTCTCGGGGCTCTCTGGGGCAGCATTGGGGCCTCTTGGGCCGTCTTCAAAACTTCTAAGGGGCCTCTTGGGCCGTTTTGGGGCGACATCGGGGGCCCATCGGGCCGTCTTGGACGCTGCGAAGACCCAAACAGCGGATCTGTTAAACTGATGCGTTTTCCCGAGGGAACGGGACGATTGTTGCTTCTTCGGGGCTCTCTTAACAGCCTCTTGGGGCGTCTTGGGGGCCTCTTGGGCCGTCTTCAGACCATCGAGGCTCCTCTTGGAAAACTCTTGTTCTGTGTTGGGTCTCTCTTGCGCCTCTCCGACGACCCCTCTGATCGCCTTAAGTCTGCTCGCAAAGCCCTGCAAGGCGCCCTGGCAGGCCCCGAAGGGCCAGCAGACCTTTTCCATGGGCGTCCGACGTCCGAAAGGGCGTCCAGGGCGTCCCTGGGGGGGCAGTCCGGTTTAGGGGGGAGGGGTCCGGGTTATAAGAATATCAGAATTGTAATATATATATATATATATATATATATATATAGATATACATATATATACATATATATATGTATGCTATACATACGCACATGAACATTATCCTGGCAAAGCAACCTAACAGCGATGTGTATAAGCATATCTGGAAGCATTCCCCTGAAGATTCAGGTGAGAATCCAGTTGTAGAATTCTGCTGTTCTCGCAGTCGCAGTCGCATTCGCAATGACGGTCGCAGTGGCAACGGCCTTAGGATCCAATGGAACCCTAAGGATTCCTAAGGATTCCTAAGGCATCCTTAGGCATCCTTAGGCATCCTTAGGAATCCATAGGAATCCCCCTGTAGTATTTTTT